TCGAGTCCCGCATCGGGCTCCCTGCTCGGCGGGGAGCCTGCTTCTCCCTCTGACCCTCCCCCCTCTCATGTGCTGTCTCATTCTCTCTCTCTCAAATAAATAAATAAAATCTTAAAAAAAAAAAATATTTCAGTGTACACATAATATTATTGAATTTTGCATGTAAATTACACCTCTATGAAGCTGACAAAAAAATAGTTGAGTTAGATTGCACTGATCAGAAAGAGAATCTACTTTAAAAAGTTGGGGGGGATATATTTTGAAGAAGGAAGGAGCAGTATTAGGGCCAGGGAGGGAGGGAGTAAGAGAAAGAGAAAATAAGGTATAAATGAATATAGTCAGGACAGTGGAATGTTTTGCTTCGATGCAGTCACAAAATTGAGGTCATTTAAAACACAGTAGGAGTTTAGTCAAGTAGTATTCGGGCCTCTCAATAAAGACTAAAATTTAGGGGGCTCCTGGGTGGCTCAGTTATTAAGCGTCTGCCTTCGGCTCAGGTCATAATCCCGGGGTCCTGGGATCAAGCCCTGCATAGGGCTCCCTGCTCCGCGGGAAGCCTGCTTCTCCCTCTCCCACTCCCCCTGCTTGTGTTCCCTCTCTCACTGTGTCTCTCTCTGTGAAATAAATAAATAAAATCTTAAAAAAAAAGACTAAAATTTAGAATGTACCACTCCTGATGGGATATATATTATAATAATGAGATAAAAATGAGAAACTAGGGGCACCTGGGTGGCTTAGTCACTTGGGCATCTGACTCTTGATTTCAGCTCAGGTCATGATCTCAGGGTCCTGAGATCAAGCCCCGTATTGGGCTCCGTGCTCAGCAGGGACTCTGCTTGAGATTCTCTCCCTCTGCCTCTGCCCTCACTCATGCTCACATGCACACACATGTGCTCTCTCTCTCTCAAATAAATAAATAAATCTTTAAGAAAAAATGAGAAACTATTTGCAAACAATATAAATGGTAATGAGAGGCAGAATTAAATGTGGTTTGGAGAATTTTTGTTTTGAGATTTTTAAAAAGTCTTGATTGGTCTACAAAAAGCTCTATGTATTTAATATATGTAACTTGATGAGTTTAGACATAACTGTACATCATGAAACAGTCACCACAATCAATGCCATAAACATGTCTATCACCTCCAGAAGTTTCCTCCCACCTTATGTATTAATGTATTTGATTATGATAAAATACTTAGCATAAGATCTACCTTCTTCACAAATTTTTAAGTATATGGGGAGGAGTTTGACAGGTGTTGTAAAAACAACAACAACAACAACAACGAAGTGGTGAACCCAAAAGGGAAAGAATTTGAATCTCATAAAAAAGGGTGTTATTACCTAAAAGCCAATCAAGAGAAACTTCTGAGGGCTCTAGCATTGTTTCAAAGTCTGTGTAAGTAATATATCATGTAATTGCCTTTCTTTTTTCTTTTCCATTCAGTGCCATCTTCCTAGAAGAGCTTTAGACTGGAGAATGGTTGAAGCTTACCATGCTGGGGCCCCAGGTAGGTTTGCCCAGAATTGGAACAACCCCTGCTGTTTGCTGTTTAGTTTCCTATCCTTTCCTTACCACCCTGGAGGACTAGTTACTGCCTACAATTGGAATAGAACAAGGTGTCTTTTTCTTGGCCATTGGCAGGTTTCTGCTTCCAGAGGCTTGATGTGATAATTCACTAATCTTCAGAATATTAAAAATGATGTATTTGTAGGAGAGTTTGAATCATTCTATTGTAATTTCAGGAGCAGCTTTATTTTTCACATTTGGAAGCTACTCAGTTGTCATGGTGAACAAGTTATTTGATTTTTTTTAGTAGATTTTATTCTCTATAGCCTTTTTAGGTTCACAGCAAGATTGAGTAGAAGGTACAGAGATTTACCATATGCCCCCTATTCCCACACATGCTCAGCCTTCCTCATTATCGACATTCCCCATCAGAGTGGTACATATGTTACAGTTGATGAACCTACATTACACATCATTATCACCCAGAGTCCATCATTTACGTTAGCCCATCATTTACATTAGAGTTCACTGTTGGTGGTGTACGTTCTGTGGGTTTGGACAAAACTTAGAATGACATATATCCACCATAATGTTATCATAAATAGTACGTTCACTGCCTTAAAAACCCTTTGCTTCACCTATTCATCCTTCCTATCCCACTAACCCCTGGAATTCACTGATCTTTTTATCATTTCCATAGTTTTACCTTTTCCAGAATGTCATATAGTTGGAAACATACAGTATGTAGTATGTAGCCTCTTCAGATTGGCCTCTTTCACTTAGTAATATTCATTTAAGTTTCCACCATGTCTTTTTTTTTTTAAGATTTTATTTATTGATTTGTCAGAGAGAAAGAGCACAAGCAGGGGGAGGGGCAGGAGAGCCCAATGTAGGGCTCGGTCCCAGGACCCTGAGATCATGACCTGAGCCGAAGTCAGATGCTTAACCAGCTAAGCTACCCAGGCACCCCTGGTTATGATTAGTTTTGCAAGAGACCACCAAACTGTCTTCCACAATGGCTGTATGATTTTGTATTCTCACCAACAATGAATGAGAGTTCCTGTTGCTTCACATCCTTGCCAGAATATGGTGTTTTAGTGTTCTGGATTTCAGCCATTATAATAGGGGTGTAGTGGTATCTCGTTGTTTTAATTTGCATTTCTCTGATGACATATGACATATGACATATGACACTGAGCATCCTTCATATGCTTTTTTGCTACCTGTACCTCTTTTTAGGTGAGGTTTCTGTTAAGGTCTTTGGCCTATTTTTTAATCAGATTGTTCGTTTGCTTTATTGTTGAGTTTTAAGATTTCTTTGTATACTTTAAATAGATTGTTTTTGAATATGCACATTTCTTTAATTGTTGACTCTCTGATGTGTAATTCTTGCTATGTGGCACTGTTGGAAATAATTTAGTAAAAAAACAGATTAAGAATAAATCACTAGATTTTTCTCTCTAATGAAAATTAAAGGACTTTGGTGAATTGGTAAAAGGTGAAAAGAAAATTTGGTGAAACTTAAAGTAATATGATAATATACAAAATTCTATTTAGAGACAGATTTTAGTCATTCTTAAACCTAACTCTCCAGGACAGTTTGACCTGAATGACCTGTAGTAATCCTATTGGCTACAGAAAATAAGCTCAGTACTCCTCAGTCAGAAAGTCCCTGTATTTATATCTACTATGAGTGGTACAAATTAGATCTTCAGTAAATGTTATAGCAATAAGTGTTTTTCCTTATGCTGTGGTTATGTATAAATTTGGTGAACTAGTGATTGTTTTGAAAAAGAAATTAACTTATTTTTAAAAAACTATTTCTAAAAGGAAAAGCCTAAGTTTTCTAAAGTAGGCACATCTAGTAGGTATTTCCTATCTGTATTGTTAATCATAAGTCAGTGACTTTATCTGATCTTTGTTAAATTTGCTAGACAGAGTTATGACTTTGCTGCACAACAAAGACATCAGACTTGTGTCAGTGTTTGAGAGAGTGCAGATCTTCTCATGGAACTTAAGCAAGGGGGTGACTGCCTGATATGCCTGCTACTATGAGCTTTACGATGATGATTTCACTCCTTCCCTCTTCCTTCTGCCCACAAGTAGCACAATACAACAGTGATTGCCTCTGGGCAATGCCGAAGAGGTTCACTCCAGAAAGTCTCACTCACTCGCTTCCATTGTGCAACTTCTTGAGTGTTCAGGGTAGGCGGAAACAAGGGAGTTGTCTAACACAGAGGAGAAAAATGATAGCTCCTGTTTGATTATAAGCTGAAGGTTCCAGAGTCCTTGCATGTTCACTGTACAGCCTCAGGCTGGCTGGCTGTAGTGTGGCTTTCCTGGATGTTCTTTTAGGCCTTCAGAATGAAGGCTACAGATCTTCTCAGTCACCTGAACCCTCTGCTTTCTAGTCCTGTGCATAGTATGTCTGGTCCTTTTATTCTCTTCCTTGAAAAGCTTAAAACTATAGGAGGTTCCTTCATATTTTGTAATCTTCAACCTACTTTATAACTTCAAGCCAGTGGCAGTATGTACTAAAAGCTAAAACAAACAAAATAAATAAGCATGTGTCTTGAGAGCCTTCGGTATCCCTCTCAGCTAATCATTGCCCTGGCTCCGCCGCCTGAAACCTATGTTCCATCACACCAATTGCTTTACCCGTCAGATGTAATTTTATAGTTGTATCAGGTAAACACTATAATTCATTTTCTCCTTATGTGTATATTATTTATCTTCAGTGTTCCGGGTTTGCAATTGTATACAAGTATTTCAAGGATCGTATAAACTAACGAAGGAAGGCAGGAAAGAACATAGGTGTAATAGGGTAAAAATTAATAATATATGAGTGTTACCAGCCCTTGTCTTTTCCCTGATGGCTAAAGAGTACTCTGGCTTTAATGCTTCATTCTCAGTTTCTTCCTCTGAATATTTCCTCCCACCCTCAGAAAAAACCCGTAATATTGCAAAAGTGATTATTTTGAGCTTCTGTAATAAAGAAGCAGGAGAATAGAGCAGAAGGAAGAAGACAGAGGAACCCTATAGATTAGGGTTGAAGCAGGGCATCTGGAGGGAACTTCCAGTAAGAAAGTAAAGTAAGAAGATAGGAGAAATGAATGACACTTAAAATAAGAGAATTATGGGAGAAATTGTGGGCTGATAATAGGTATACCTTCTATCTTGCCTGAGGCCCCACTAAAAGAGAAGTTAGAAGTAAAAGGAAGAGTAAACTCAGTATAGTGAAGAGAAATGGAAGGGAATGTTCCAGACACAGGGATTTCAGCAAAGTTCTGGGAGATGGAAAGTGAATGGAGGTTGCTGTGGACTGATAAAAATTAGTGGTGGAATCATAGCCCGGAGTACACGCTGAAGAGCTGGAAGGAACAGGAGTCAATGTACAAGGTGGAATCTGGGCAGATTCTGGGGTCAGAAGCAGTGGAAGCTCAAGAGGCAAAAGTGAGCCGCGGGGTTAACACAACGTGTGTGTTTGTGTGGGATAATTCGAATGTCTTTGCCCCGTTCCTCCCCAGTCTCCACATGCAGAGTGACTGGAACACAGTGTTTACCCTAAAGCAAAAAAGGAGAGAATTGTGCTCTAAAGAAGTGGAAGGAACTGCCTGTAGAGAGCTTAGGCTTCTAGCACTTAGTGTAGATGCTCCAGAATAAAGACCTCTTCCTTCAGGCTTTTGAAGGGCCTGCCCTCTGACAGCTAAAACTCTAAATTCAACCTTCTAGTGGACACTTACATGCTTTGAACTTGTTATAATTCTCGTAGGGAACGACCAATGGAGAATAAAAAATACCTTAGTAAGCAGCAGAAGAAACCTGTTCTAGCTATTCTTGGACTCACTCGTTCTTAAATAAAAATATATACCCAAGGTCATTAACAAAAGAGGAGAAGGAGCACCAACTCTCTGAGTTTAAAACCTCACCATGGGAGAAACAAGAATGCTTTAATGAACAGAGAGAAAATAACTTTTAAAACACTTTAGATCTGGGAAGAACCAAGGTGAAAAAAAAAAAAAGAAAAAGAAAGGAAGAGATAAAAACAAAGAGAAAGAAGATCTTAGAAATTAAATTACTGAAGAGCTGGAAGACAAACTTAAGACAATTTCTAAAGTTGTAGAATGAAATGAATACAAACCTCTGCAGTGATGTGTGAGTTTACCATGTTGAAAAGTTTGAAAATCCTCATGGGGGACTGAGTGAAATGGAAATTGTTTTTACCTCATGATTAATGAATATCCACATTCTTTTAAAATGGAACCATTTTTGCCATAATTTTCACATCAAGTACCTTTTTCTACAGAAAAACCGTCTTACGACCATTTAGTTATACAGTGAAAACGTATGTGGCAAAAATCCTTGTGGCAAAGATACTTATGGCAAAAACTACCTAGAACCCTATTTTTGGATTCTAAGAGAAGGCTCACACTTCACTTTCTCTGATTAGTGGAAAGATGTTGCCCAGTTCCATAGGGCATATACCCTGGCAATGTGGCTATTGCTTTTGGACTTCAAATGAAGTCAGCCTGGAAATAATTTTGAAATATATACTTCATACTGTCAGAAACATGTTAAGCTGCATATAACTGGAAACCTAACCAATGATGTCTTCAACAAACAGGGGTTTGTTTTGTTCCCCAAGCAAGAAGTCGAATGTGGGTAGTCGAAGATATTGGTTCAACAGCTTAAAGATACGACCAAAACCCCCAGGGTCTTGTTATCCTTCCATTCTTCTATCCTCAGCTGTTTCCTTTAGTTCTTACCCTTGTCATCTCATGGAGATACCCTCACATCAGTATCCTAACAAAGAAGACAGCTCTTTTTCTTCTCAGAAAGGAAGCTCTTCCTCAAACTCTCTCTTGAATGTCATTAGTCAGAAATGGACTGAATCCATTTCTTGTGCTGAGTCCAAAGTAATTACTGGCAAATCAAATGAAACCTCCATGACTTACATAGACCAGTTATGATTCATCCTCATGAACTGTGGTTGGGGACTCCTTCTGCTCAGACTACTTTTTAGCTAGAGGTCCTGTTCATAGGGAAGAAGGGTGGTCTATTGAGGAGCCAACAAACTCTGCCACACGTGTATTCTACAAAATGTTTAATTCTTGGACTGGATGTAGAGGGATAATAATAGTTAAGTCACACAAGATAGGAAGTTAGGAAAGGCAACAAAATAACCCAAAATATAAAGAATTCCTAAGTAGAGGTGTTGTAATAAACTTTGTGTTTAAATTTTGCTTACTTACATGTATTTGTAGAGTAAAATTCCTATTTAGGCTAGTTGATTGTGTTCATGCCTTCCTGGCTGAGAGTTCCATATGGCTGATGAATTAATATCAAGGAAGGAGACTAGAGAAAAGGCAAAATCTCCAATCCCAAGTTCTCTACCTTTCTATTCACCTCTGAACTCCTGGGTAGAATTGATGAAGTTCCATGGGGGCATCTCCTGTTTAATGTATCTCCAGCATTTTTTTTTCACTTCTTCCTCAAAGGAATTCAGAGAGGATGTTATCTTATTAGTTTCACCAACAAGACTGTAGCTCAGAAATCACAGAGGTTTCTATCGTGCCTCTTGCTTCTCCTCTAAGACAGGTATTTATGCTAGACAGACATGTGAGGTGGATCTAATGACAGTGGGCACACCCATTTCTTTCTTTTTTT